GCGGCGATGGGGGCGGCGCGGCCGCAGTGAGCCCGGCGGGGAGCGGAGCGGAACGGAGAGGGAGAACGGAGCGGCGGGCCGATGGCGTTCAGCGCCTGGCAGATCCTCTCGCCGGTGCAGTGGGCCCGGTGGACCTGGTCGGCGGTGCGGGGCGGGGGTGGCCCCGAGGGGGAGGACGGCGGGGCGGCGGAGGAGGAGGAGGAGGAGGAAGGCTCCTCGCCGGCCGAGGGCACGGCTCTCGGTTTCAGGCAAGTGACCCGCGGCCGTTTCGCCGGCGCGTCCCACGGGGAGCGCGGGACCCACGCGTGGACGGCCGGCCGTGCGGGGCTGCGAGCGCGTCCTGCCTGCCATCTCCCTTGCAACCTGCCCCGCTCGCTGCCCGGCATCAGCTTGGCTGCCCCGGGGGTTTGGGGGGGCCGCATCCTGCACCGCGCCTGGGGAGCCCGGGGGGAGTGGGTGGGTGGTGGGGGGGGGCGCTGGGCGAGCGGTCCCGGTGGCTGGAGCTCCCCGGGAAGATGCCGGTGGGCACAAGGTGGGAGCGTCGAGGCTCGCTTCCCAAATTCGCTCCTGCCCGGGGAAGATGCTGCCGGGGCTGTCGTGTCCTTGGAGGTCTGTGTTGGATGCTCAGATAGCTCGGGAGAGACCTGGAGGAAGCAATCCCAGAGGCTCGGCTGAGAGGAGGGTTTGGGGGTATGCGGGGGGGTGCTCGTGATGTTGTTTCACCTGCTCTCCCTTTTCCCTTTGCTAGCGTGTTCCGCTGGACAGGAGAGAGCGGCCGCCGCAGGATGCCCATGGCCAGCCGGCCCGGGAGCCGGTCTGGCTGGGTGTGTAGGCAGTGTGGAGGATTTCAGAGCTAGCCTTGAAAGCGGTAATTCCTCACTCTTTTCCCCCCCCATCAGCAGCTCGGACTCCGAAGGTAATTTTGAGACCCCTGAAGCAGAAACGCCGACCCGCTCGCCGCTAAAGGAGTTCTGCGAGCCGCCGCCGCCGGGATCGCCGGAGCCTGAGGCCGGGACCCAAGGTAAAGAGCCAGCGTGCACCTTCTGCTTTTCGGCTCCCCGCTCCGGATGCGGAAAGGCAGGGTGGGGTCAAGGAGGAGAAGTCGCTTGTTTTGAATAATGCCTGCCACATTTTTTGTGGTTAATGGCCTGGATGGTTCAAATGCCAGTACTCAGGGCTGTGCACTCTGCAAAGGGCTGTTCTCTCACTTGAGCTAAACGTTGATTTTATTGAAGCGCTTTGGAGGGAGGGGGCCGTGCTGCAGGCTCAGAAGGGTCAATTTGCCCCCCTTGGCTCATGCCTACGCAGTGCAAAATTATCATTGTGCTGTTTTGCAACCACCGGTCGCACCCTCCTCTGTCCCTGAGCTGGGGAGAGAGCGAGAGGCTCTGCACGTCAGGTTTTGTGAGCTGCCGAGCCGGGCTGAGGCTGCGCCCAGGGATGCAGAGGCTGCAGCCGGGACAGCTGCGACGGATTGATCGAGAGGAACCGAGGATGTTGTTGAATCATTTTGTCAGTTCAACTGCCCTCTGCCACTTCCCCCACAGACAGCACAGTGCTCAGGGCAGCCTCCCGTCGCTGCCTGAGGCAGAGAGTGGGCTGCTGGCCAGTGGGAGCTGCCCCACACGTGCCCCGCATGCCGCTCGCCCTTGGCTCTTGCACAGGAGCTGACGTGGTGCTGGGTTTGTGTCCTCCCCCTGGCCGGTCGGTGATGGAGGTTTCATTGCACGGGTCTCTCTTCTCTGGAGTTAGTGGCCAGGTGTCTTTGCTGTGTAGCTGCTGTTAAAGATGTAAGAGCTCGACGCTGCTAAACCCCATTTCTGGAGAAATCGCGAGGGATCTGCTGAAAACGCAAAGGGTTTCCTTTGCCAGTGGGGTCCCGTGTTGTTGCTGGTTTGTCCTTGTGTCTCACGCTGGCCGCTGCTCCTCTAAGTACAGCTCCCCATTAACCCTTGGCCTTTTGGGGACCAGATCCCCCCCGTTGTCATACCCTTCTCTCCAGGGGGAATTGCGGTTAGTGCCTGTGGCTGAGCTTCATGTTTATGTCTGTTTTCGTGCTGCCAGGAGGAGGCTTTGAAGCTCCGGCACCTCTGCAGCAACCGCTGGAGGTTATCAGGGCAGGGCAGGGAGGAGACCTCCCCTTTCATCTGCTCTCTCAGCAGAGCGGGGTGACTGGGCAATGTCAGGACATCTGGGAGCCCCCGGGGGTGTCTGCGGGAGGGCAGCCTCTACAGGGCATGGGGCAGTGCATGGGGGGGTGCAAGGTCCCAGAGAGGCCATCCTGAGCATCCTCTGCCCTCTCTTGCCCGACTGCCTCTCGCTGCTGCAGGGCCCCCGGTATGCGACTTGCAGTATTGTGTATTTCTTGAACGCTCGGAACAGCGGGCTGGTGGCTTACGGCTCGCCTGGTTTCGGAATGTGGTAGCTTGAACCAGACCCTGGGTCCTCCCTGTGCAGGAGCCCAAGTACTGCGTGACCTTGGCAGTAACAGGGTGCTGTGGCTCTCCATCTCCTGTGGTGTTGTTTCACTGTTGGGATGGATCTGGGTGCCCATCCCTCCCCGTGGAAAACACAGGTTTGTTTGCCTTGATGGAGAGAGCACTTGGTTCATGCCTCCGATAATTGCAGCTCTTGGAATAATCCTTCCCTTTTAAGAAGGGATGATAGAGACATCTTTACTTTGGGAGAATAATGTCTGTGGAGGGGGAGAGGGGAGATAAAGGCTTTCCTAGCAGGTATGAGGATCATTTCTGCCAAAACTTCTGCTCAGGGAAGCGCGTTGCCTCAGACTCCAGGGTGTCACCATCCCAAAGTGTTCCCGTGCCCCTGCATCCTGGGATGAGCAGTTCCTCGAGGCCAGCCCGGCACAGCAGCGAGGGAGCCGGCTGCTCCCGGCACCCTGCGCACAAAGGTCGCAGTGTTGTGGGGCTGAGGGGATGATCTCTGGCAAAAGCTGTTTTTCTGTGCTGGCTGGTGGAGAGCAGGATGTTGGAGACAGCAGGGCCAAACCCGCTGTGTGACAGCACCCAGCTCCATCCCTTCCCTGTCCAGGGCTCCGGCTGCATCTCTTCAGCGTCTCTGAAATGGTGGAGGGAAGGGATACCCGGGTGCGGTTGCGAGTTTGTGGTGTGCAGAAGGCATCCTGGGGTGTTAAATCACCGTACCTTAGGTAATCTATACGTTAAGCCCTCGTCTTTGCAATTCTGTTCTGCAGCAGCATGTACCCTTTCGTCTGGCTGCAGCTCAGGAGCAGCAGCGGTAATAAATGCCGTGATCGGGAGGCAATCCAGTGTAATGGCTGCTTGTCAGTACTGAAACAGCCGAGCTGTTGCGTGTATGGGAGAGCTGCTGCCCTGCAGTCGTTGGGGAATAGCTGCTGCCAGTGCCTGTGTACACCTGGGCCAGCACGGAGCGGGGGGACCTGCACGAGCCCAGACCTACGGGCAGGCACACGGGTGGGCACAGCATCTCCCAGGCTCGGGGGGACTGGGAGGAACAGACACTCGTCTTGTCTTACAGTTGCAGTCTCATCCTTACTTGGGAATAAATAGGGTTAGGAAACTTGTGAGGCAGAAGCTGTGACTCTGGGGGCTGGCTGCTCTGCGCGCAGCTGAGAGGTGGCCTGGATGCGTTAAACCCTGTTCTCGGGGACAAAAATTCAGCCGGTCCCATCGCTGCGGGAAGGGGGTTGCAGTTAGGCTTTATGCCCATTCAGGATCACTCAGTTTTCCTCTTGCTGTCTCGGACAGTGGAGGCTGTAATTCTGACCCATTCTTGCTAAAGAATATCTTAAGTCATCTGCCAGAAGAAGATAGTGTGTGCAAGGAAATGAGCAGAAGCAACAAACATGGAACCATCAGTGATGGGAGCAGGCTCATCAGCTTTTACTTCTGTTACCCTGATGCAGGGCACGTGTTTTCCGGTGCATTAGCGGCAGCATCGTTTGCCGGTATGCTAATTCTTAACAGAATAGATTTAAAAATAGATCAACGTCTGTTAAACAAAAGCGGAAAGCCAAAAGAGGAAAAAAGTCGTTAGCTACGTAAGCCTAAGCTGAAAGTACCGGCCAGATATCCTGTGCTCAGCCTGCGTGTTCGAGTGAGCTGGGAAAGGGAGAAATGCGTGACTCATGCTGTGCACAAAGCATGAGCTGAATCAAAGGCTGCAGATAGTGGAGGGGTTGTTCTTGCCTGCGTTTGGCATTCAGGGCCGTGCAGAGGATCATTGCTGCTTCACTTGGTTGCTGTGTGTGGGATGAAAAGGGCGCGGAGCCTTTGCATTGCAGCGCTGCTGCTGCCAAGTTTTTCTGATTCATTTAAGGGAGCGAGGGATGGCATGTAGGAAAGCTGTTTAGTTAGTCGATGTTTGTGTTTAATTTCAGCCTAAGGAAGACAAGCGTAACGATTATAATGCACATGCACAAAGTGCCTATTACTGCGGTGCCAGGCTGTCCTGTCTGTATGTTTTCCTTTAGAGAGTATAAAATCTTCATGTTCACTTTGTAATATCCCCTCTGTGTACACTGGCCGGACCAGAAGCAGGTTTGCACTCTGTGCACAGCTGATACAACTCCTGTTTTCAGGGATGCAGAGTGCCTTTTATTGGATCTGTGTTTGGGATGGATCCTGGAGTCACTGAGCATGCCTTGCTGTTGGCAGTGTCCGTTTTCATGGTGGGACGAAAATGTCCCCACCTGCAGGGTACAGCGCCAGAGGGAAAACGGGAGAGCTCGGGGTCACCTTTTCGGTGATGCTGTAAAGCATCTGCTGGGCTGCCCGTGAGAAGAGCTGGTCCGAGGGGGAAACCTGCGTGTGGTGGGCCAGCGTGCCCAGCAGCCTGGCTGCCAGACCCCCTTCTCCTGGGGTCCCGTGGGGCGTTCAGCACAGTTTTGGCCCAAAAGGAGGGTTAGGGCAGCGAGGCGGCTGGCGAGGCAGCTGGGCTGGGGAGGCACTGGCTGTTTCTGCAGGCTGGTTTCCCTGGCAGGAGACGTGAGCAGAGGGAGTGCGTGCTGAGCCGGCGTGGCGGCTCTCCAACGTGACTGCACGGGGGTGGCGGGGAGCTGGGCTCGCTTCGGGATGTAAATGCATGCAGAGGCTGTGGAGGAACAGGGAGAGCTGCATGCAGCTCGCCGGGGTTGGGAAGGGCTCCCTTGGCAATAGGCAGTGCTGCACCGAGGTTATCGCGATGCTCGTACCCGGCAGAGCTGGGCAGCTGCGGGGGCCGGAGTGCAGACCTCGGCTCTTCCCAA